CGCCCCTTTTACTGCAGATCAGAAAAGTATATCAAAGTGCCTCCTTATAATATATAATTCAAATTAATTTATTTTTTTGACTCTTCAAATATTCAAAAAATCACTTCCCATTCTTACTAACAGGTGAACGCAGTAGAAATTATGAAATGCCATCGACTGTTTTTAACACTCCTGCTGACCAAAAGTCTGAAACAAGAACTTATGTTGATTTTACGTTAATTTGTCTGTAAACTTTACAAAAATGATCTTTACTCTGTCCTCAGTGGGACTTGTGAGCTGAACTGTTGTTAATGCAGTTTAATGTTCAGTTGACTTGCAGAGGTTTGTTTTGATAGAAACCTACATGAGGAACACTGTGTTCTGGTCTGTAGATGTTGGAGAGGCGGTGGCCTTCAACGTCACATGTCCCAATTACACAATACACTACTGCTGAACTGACAGAGCTGCAATAGAAAGGAGCTGCATGTTTCGGGACATTTCCAGCTGAGCTTTTTGGAGCCCAGTGAGTTTTCCTGGAAAGCTTGGCTCTCTGTACATTCCTTGATAGAGCTCTGCTTTCACAGTTCCTGCTCATGGAGGCACGTGAACACACTCCCAGTCATCCCCACAGGAACGTGCTGACTGGGGAGCGTGTTGGATCACCTCCATATTATGAGTAAATGAACTGTGTTCTATTTTTATTTACTTTGAAATGTTTCTTGAAGAAATTAAAGAGTTTTTTTTAGTGTTTAGGGTTTGGACATTTTTGGCCATGGTTCAAACACTGACTGTCCACAGCTGATGCTGGGTTCTTTTCCTGAGCACACAGTGTTTTTAAATCCTGTGCCTTCAATGACATCTTGTGCTGCTGTTACTCAGGTTAGCCCAGATTAGATTTGAGTGATTCTGACATGCTGACTTTACAAACCAATCAATCTGTCCAACTACACAACCCCCCACACACATGTATTTACCCCAGTGAGGACTGGGATTTTGTCCCCATTAGGAACTCACCATCCTGACCAGGCTGTGTACCAGGAAAATGGTCAAAAATGATCCCCAACAGTTAGCAAAAACCTGCAGATTCTCTCTCTCTCTCTCTCTCTCTCTCTCTCTCTCTCTCTCTCTC